TAGTTTGAGATCTGGAAGTGCTGTTCCCTCTTCATCCCTACTTCATTCAGCATTTCTCTTGACATTCTCGATATTTTGTATTTCCAAGTGAATTTTGTTATTTATCAAGTTCTATAAAATATTCCCTTGGTAATTTGGTTGGTATAGCATTAAAAATGTAAATTAATTTTGGTAATATTGTCATTTTTATTATATTGGCAAGGCCTAGTCATGAACACTGAATATTCTTCTAGCTATTTAATTTATTCTTTATTTCTTTAAGGAACACTTTGTAATTGAATCTATATAATCCTTCTGTGTGCTTTGGTAGGGATTGTCTTGTCTGCCCCAGCAGTTCAAGGAGGTTTATTCCCCAGGTGCCAGCAGTTCAGAGCTTTGAAGTGCTGGTGCTGTGTGGCCTGGACAGACTTCTGCAGCTTGGAGCTGAGTCCTCTATAGCTCTGGAAGTGGGGAGGAGGAGGAGGAGGAGAAGGTTTGGGGATGGGTTTTATTGTAAGCTTGTGTCTGGTCTTTGGGTCTGCTAGAGTAGCCTCACTGCAGGTAGCATGGGAGGTGGGGGGAAGGGTGCTGATTGAGCATCAGTTCACGGTGCTTTTTTTTTTTTTTTAAACTTTCTTTTGGATTCTGGGTGTCCCAGACCATGGAGACAGCTGAAGTTGCTTTATCTTGGGGTCATAATTTCTGTTTTGGAGAGGTTTGAGAGGTCGTGGGGCTCAGAGAAAATGTCTAATCCTCATCTGGTGACCCATCTGGTGTTCTTTCTTGATGATTGCTGGAGTATTTGGATAAGAGAGCTGAGCTATATTGCTTCTCACTGTACCATCTTCCTATTCTTCTGTTCTTATATATTTGAATCAATTTTCTATATATCTGGGATATCAAAACTTTATCAGAGATATTTGTTGCAAAGAAACTGCTTCTCCTGATTTACCCAAGTTGACTTTGTTTCCACAAAATCTTTTTAATTTCAGGTAATCAAAATTTCCTATTTTATCTTCTATGATCACCTTTATCCCTTGATTAGTTAAGGATTTCTCCCTTCCTTTTATTCTTTTCTACTTTTTTTTAAATGATGTGACCTTTTATATTTAGGTTACGTATCTATTTTGAGCTTATTGTGGTATGGCAAAAATTGTTCAGTGTGAACCTAATTTTTATCAAATTGCTTTCCCTTGTGTTGAATAGGGAGTACTTGCCCCAGTTATATCACTGTCCCTTGAGTTTACTCCTTTTAGCTTCATTTTTGGAACCTTAATTTTTTTCTAAATTAAAAAAAAATCTAAATTACAATAGTTTGAAATTTAAAAAAGTGTTGTTAAACTTTCACACCAGAATGTTAGCACCTTACAATCGCCTACTCTGAGAGACATACCCTTGAGAAAATTCCTTTATGGATTTTTTCTTCTGTGTATCCATCTCACATTCCATTTTTATTATTATTATTATTTTTTTAGGTAGTTGGGGTTAAGTGACTTGCCCAAGGTCACACAGCTAGTAAGTGTCAAGTGTTTGGCATGAGGCTGGATTTGAACTCAGGTCCTCCTGACTTCAGGGCTTGTGCTCTTTCCACTGCGCCACCTAGCTGCCCCCCATTTCTTTTTTTTTTCTTTTTTGAAACTTTATTTAGTATTTTATTTTTCCCCAGTTAAATGTAAAAACAATTTTTAACATTCCCTTTTAGAATGTTGAGTTCCAAATTCTCTCCCTTCCTCCCTCCCCAGAAGGCATGCAATTTGTTGTAGGTTGTACACGTGTAGTTATTACATTCCATTTCAAGTCAAGGATTCCATCATAATGATTTTCTTTAGCAAATCTAATACTTTTTTTTTTTAGAGTTATGGTCAAATATAAATCATTCATTTTCTACCTTTGCACCATAATAAAACTGAGAATGCCTTTCATTTTCATGTTATTAGCAATGTCACATATCATAGGTATATTCATTACCAGCTATTACCTACGCCTGATAGGTTATGGGATTCTCCTCTAAAAGATTCTTATTGTTGCATTATGAATAACCCAGTGGTACCCATGGATAACAGTATTTTTAACTGTAGAGCTAACTAGCTTTTGCATAGATTATTCGTATTACACACCTATAAAAATGCACTGCCGATTTCAAGAAATGCTCTCTGCTTCTTCATCATCAACTCAGGTCTTCCTGACTCCAGGGCTGGTACTCTATCCACTGTGCCACCTAGCTGCCCCTCTATTTTATAGTTTTTAAATATTCTACCACCCTTCATTGGGTTTTTGAGCTCAACTTGAACTTCATCCTTGTGCAAGTGGTGTGGGACAGTTTCATGGGGAAAGGCAGTGATATTTCTATAGAAACTACCTAAAACAAAAAAGTCACCTTGCAAGCAAGCCTCCTAATAAATCAAGTTTACCTGTTCTGGGAAACTTTAGACTATTAGTGTCCTAAATTAGGAATACTTTCGAGTTCATATAGATCAAGAAATTAATAAGTATTTATTAAGTGTATATTCCACGTTGCTGTGCACTTAAACTCTGCTCTTTGACTTTTCCAATGACTAATAATTTCTTTGTAGAAAAAGAAAAACTATGATCACAAGTGCCTATATATGTGTTCATATTGTATCTATATATTCATACACTTATACACACATCCATTATTCTTAATCATGAATGTATACACATTTACCTATATGCACTCATATGTGTCTATCAATAAACATGGTACTGTTGCATTAAAGTTACTTGATTCTTTTGATCCTTTGATTCTTTATCATCAGTATCCCTTTTCAGACTTTCAGACTTTCTGTTTATCCTTATCTCTGCTTAAAACGACTATGTCCCTGGGGAAATAATGCTCCTGCTTTCATAGGTATTATATTATTTGTTTTTATACTTCTTTATATGTACCAGTTGCTGCATCTCACTCTGGACTTTTTCTGAATGCCAGTGTAGAGTATAGAAGTCCTTGAAGTTTGATTTAAGGAGTTTTTGGTGTCTCAGCAGGTACTATCTATGTCAAAGCAGGAGAAGAATTAGGTCTATAGATACTTATGTCATGTTTAAATGACCTGAGAAGATCTCTATTTTATGGTTTTGGATTCTTTTTTTGTTTTTTGTTTTTTGGCGAGGCAGTCAGGGTTAAGTGACTTGCCCAGGGTCACACAGTGAGTATCATGTATCTGAGGCCGATTTGAACTCAGGTCTTCCTGACTCCAGGGCTGGTACTCTATCCACTGTGCCACCTAGCTGCCCCTCTATTTTATAGTTTTTAAATATTCTACCACCCTTCATTGGGTTTTTGAGCTCAATTTGAACTTCATCCTTGTGCAAGTGGTGTGGGAGAGAAAATCATAGGTGTGTGCCCATTAGGGGTTCAGTTGGGTAAAGAGCTTTGGGCTTAATTTGTTGATACCAAGGTTTTTTTTTAAACTCTTATGAAATCCTTGTGTTCTAGACAAGGACTGGAATCCTAAGTTTGAAACAGTAGGGCAAAGAAAGAATAAAGAACATTTCAAGGTCAGAAGAATTCAGCCTAACTTTAGCCCCTTCCTTTAATGTGGAAGTACTCCAATCTCAGTAAAGGCTTCAGACTTTCTGATCTTCTAAGATAGGAGAGGGGACTAGATTCTCTTGCACTCCCTGCATGTGTTGGTGAATCCCTTAATCCTGGGGGGTTGGCAGGTAGAGAGATGGGGAGGTCTGAGGTTAGGGTACTCATCCTCCATAGCTTGGCCATGCTTTCTCAGTGTCCAGTTCTTTCTGACCCTGTCTCCTGTTGTGCCCTCTCTTTTGTAATAACTGCTGGACCCCTTCAGGCACAGAAGAGGAGATATTCTCCAGGAGTCCAGGTATTCAGTTCTTGACACACCATTCTCATCCCTCATCCCCATGTATGTCCCTTCAACATTTGGTCTTGTTTCAAATTTGTGTTAGTGTCCCAGGTGCCACTAATTCTTAGCCATGTTTTGAGGCACAAACCTGCATGTTGACTTTTGACATCAAGCTCCAGCTGGGATGCTTACCAGACAAAATACGGCATGTTTTATGTTTCTTTAACCATCTCATCATCCCTACCTCTCTCCATCTCCAGACATGCCTTGTTCTGGAGTGGATATCCAACCATCTCTATTCAAAGAATTGCTAATAGAAGTTTTTGTTGAATTACTTAGGTGTTAGGCTAATAGCATCTTCTCAACTTTTTTTTGAGGTCAGGGACTGTGGAATAGATGAGAACATACCTTATTTGTTAGGAACCTGGCAGTGTTTAACATTCTGTGGAGGAATCTTGTGAGTAGAATTATTTATGAATAAGATTTAAAAGGGATTGAGAGAACAGAGAGTTTTCATTAATAAGATATTGTCAAACTGGGTAATAGCTCAGCAACACTAATATTAGCAGGACTGTCTCTAAATCTGAACTTCTTTAGTATTCTCTAATATTAAAGTTGGAAGGAATTATCTTAAATGAAAACAGTTTCCATGAATAACTTATCAGTCAGCTATCAGATACTTTTGAATACCTACCATTCTAATAGATGTGATCAGAGATACCAAGAGACATAAAACACAGTCCCCTCCCTTGAGGAGCTTAGAGTCAAATCAGGAAGACAAACCATACAAATAAAAAGACAAGGCACACCAGGTTAGCATAAAAAGTACTCAAAGCAATGTTGGCTTAAGTGGTTTTTCCAGTGGAGGACCCTAGTATGATTGAGGATTTGGAGCTTCTCTTTCACCAATTCAAATCCATCCCATTTTGGAGACAAGTTGAAGTTAGTGCCATGAAGCGGGGTGACCTTTCCCTCTTAGAGCAGGAGCGTGTACCTTGATTAGCTGCCTAAGCATGGGAATGGGGAAGTTGATTATGATGATGCCTTCCCTTGTTTGCTGAGAGGTTGTATGTCCTGCTGCTTGTATCTGCATTTCCCATTGCTATGGGTGTTTATGTGCACGTGTGCCTCCATCTGTTCCTTAAAAATCTCTGCCAACATGGTCTTTTCTTTCCCCCATTGTTTCTTCAGCGGGTGTTCCCGTATGTCTCAGCCATGGTGAGCAACGGCTCCCTCAGCTATGACCATGAGCGGGATGGGAGGCCCACAGAATTGGGTGGCTGCACAGCCATGGTTCGAAATCTCAACCATGACACTTTCTTGGTCATTCGCTATGTCAAGAGGCGCCTGACGGTGAGTCCCCGTCCCTGACAGGTTGGCTTTGGAGAAAGTAAGTGTGGGCTATATTTCTCCTTTTTTTATGTTTTGTTTTGTTTTTGTTCATGGCAGGACCCTCGATTCATCCCTTTGTCTTTTTCTAGATTATGTTGGACATTGATGGCAAACATGAATGGAGGGACTGCATTGATGTGCCTGGAGTCCGCCTACCTCGGGGCTACTTCTTTGGCACCTCTTCTGTCACTGGAGATCTCTCAGGTATATCACAGGCATTCTTTTCTACCTGAATTTGGATCATATCTGCATACTCAGGCCTTGATGAGATTATTTTTTAATTTAATATTTTATTTTTTTCCCGATTACATGTAAGAACAATTTTAACATTCTTTTTTTGTTTTTTTCCAAAATTTGAGTTCCAAATTCTCCCCCTCCCTCTCTGCCTTCCCCTCTCATTGAGAAGACAAGCAATTTGACATAGGTTATACATGTGTAGTCATGCAAAACACATTTCCCTGTAAGTCATGCTGCGAAAGAAAACACAGACCAAAAAAAAAAAACCAAAAACAAAAACCAAACCACTTTGAAAAGTAAAGAAAGTGAAGAAGAAGTATCTTCAATCTGTATTCAGGTTCCACCAATTCTTTCTCTGTATATGGACAGCACCTTTCTTCATAAGTCTTTCAGAACTGTCTTGGATCATATTGTTGAGAATAGCTAAGTTATTCATAGTAGATCACTTGATGAGATTTCTAAGAAGGATAGTCCAAATTTGCGTATGATTTGGAGAGGCAAATACAGAGAGGTATTTTCCTCTGTCTTGCTTTCCTGTATCCAGAGACCAGTGCAATTTCAGGTGACTGGTCATTAAAATCCTAGATGAGTGTTGTCCATTCTGGGCCCAGATTGCATTATTCTTGGTAAAGGAATATTTGGTACATCAGATTGGTTGTATAAAAGAGAGTTGTCTTTCCTTATTAAAACTTACCCCTCCATCTATACTTTGAACCTATTCTTCCGTATTTCCTTTCGGCCTTCTTTCCTACAACTATCTCTTTAATATCTCCTTCCTCAAAAGCTGTCTTCAAATGTATTCAGGTCTCCTCAAAAAAGACTCACTTGATCTGACTATCCATTCTAGTTAATATTCAGTCTCTCCTTCCTCCTTTCCTCTGTACTCTTTGAATATATCCACCCCTTCTATCTCAGCTTGCTGTCTATTCATTTTCATTTTAACTTTTGTAGTCTAGTCTGGCTTTTGTTTCTGCTATTCTTTTGACCTGCTGGCTTAAAGATGAGTGATGACCTTTTTGCCAATTTCATTGCTCTTTTCTTGGCCTATGAATCCTTTTTAACTATTCTATAGTGCTTACAACTGTTGACCTGTTATTTTTCATAAAATTATCTTTTTCAGGCTTCTATGTGTGTTCCTTTTTTGTAACTGAATGAAGAATCTAATATCTGTATTCATTTTCAGTATAGACTTTTCCTTGAAATCTTCTCCTTTGGTTTCTGTGGCACAAAACCTTCCTGGTTCTTCTGTTATTTCTGTGTTTTTTTCTCCTCCTTCTCTTTCTCCTCCTCTTTCTCTGCCTTCATTTAGTCCATAGTTCCATGTTCTGTTTATTTTTTTTTTTATGTGCACATTTTCCTCTTCCTTATAACTTTCAGGAATGTCCTTCTTCGATGCCTGTTAGAGGGCATGAGGGTGATGCTGGGTTGTCAAAGGCTGTGTCTGTGGAGCATAGATCCTTTTTTTTTTTTTTAATTTAATTTTTAATTTTTATTTTCAGTTCTAAATTCTGTCCCTCTCTCCTTTCCACCCATGAAGAAGGTAAAAATATGATACCCATTATACATATGAAGTCATGCAAAACATTTCCACATTAGCCATGTTTCCAGAAATAGAAACAAGAGAAAAAGAATATCCTTCAATCTGCACTTAGATTGAACAACAGTTCCCTCTCTGGAGGTTGATGGCATTTTTCATCATGAGTCCTTTAGAATTTTTGTGGATCATTGTCTTGGTCAGTAGTTAAGTCTTTCAGTTGATCATTAGTAATGATTCCTGGAGCACAAGTTCTTTTAGAAAGTTCTGCCAACCCAGAAAGGCTTCAGGTATGATTTTGACAACAGATTGGGGAGGACTAGCCTGAGTAAATATATTACATTGATCATGGTAGCTCGTGAAACAAAGAAAAATTTTTAAATGGCCTTCAGTCCTCTGTAGTTCCCATCCAGCAGTGATAATGGCAGAGAAAAAAACAGAAGGGGGCAGAGGAAGGCAAGAATAACATAGTTTTTAAATGATCATGTAAAAATTAACCGTTCCTGCTTTAAATATGAAATCATTGGATAGTGATCAACAAATTGGTGTGTTATTGGACGAACTAAACCATAGTATAATTGACATTTTCATTATAAGTGGAACCAGAAGACAAAAGGAATTAGCATCTAAATGGAAAAATGGCCAACAGGTACTTTTTGAATAATAATGATAGCTAATATTTATGTAGCATTTATAGTATCCCAGGCACTATGATAAACACTTTACAATTATTCTCCCATTTGATCTCCACAACAGCCCTAGGAGGTAGGTACTATTATCCTCATTTTACAGATGAGGAAACTGAGACAGACAGAGGTTAAGTAACTTGCCCAAGGTCACACAGCTAATAAGTGTCTGAGGCTGAATTTGAGCTTAGTTCCTGACTCCAAGCCCCACCTTCTATCCACTGGGACACCATCTGCCTCTTTTGAAGACACAAATAAAAAAGTTGCTTTCATTGTACACTCCAAAGTGACAAACTTTCTTTTTTAAATTTTTTTTAGATTTTTTATTTTTAGGCAATTGGGGTTAAGTGACTTGCCCCGGGTCACACAGCTAGTAAGAAACTTTTTTTTAATGGAGACATTTGATTATCTTGCCTTTCAGTTCTTTTGTTTAACATAAGCAAAAACGGCCAATATGGAGATAACTGTAGTTTGTTAACTTTTGATCCAAACAATGAAGAAGCAAAGAAATTCTATTAACTTGACAATATTCTTTAAAGTTCAACATACATGTTAGTATTTGCTAACTTTATTGCAAGGTGGGGCATAAGAGAGATTGTGAAAATTTTTTAAATGGTTCAGTATTAAGAAATAAAAAAGCCAAAGGTTCATAGGTAATCAGAAACCTCAAGGAGCTAGTTATTTTGAGTACAGAACAACATTCCCCCCAAAAGAAATTGACTATAACTTAATATACAAGAAATCAGTGGTTACTGATTTTATCATTTTTAAATCATATCTCAGTGTATAGTCAGATTAACTAGTTGGAGCAAAAGTCAGAGTACACACCAAAACAGAAGATATTGTGAAGGTGAGCAAAAAGACATGGTACGTGTGATAAAGTATCTACAATGTGACCTATTCAAAATAGACTTGATGCTAAAAAAGAGGTTATCTTAATTATTATTATTTTCTACAGTTTAACTAACACAAAGCAGTTAGCATGAGGAGGATGCCCAAAAAGCCCAGAAATCACTTTAACTAATAAACATACTTGATCTCTTTGCCAAGTAGGGATGTGGCAGTCATAACATCACTGATTTAGTATTTAAACTCATTCATAAAATGTTGTGGAACAGAACAGAGGAAAAGTGTAATCTCACCACAAATCATTGAGATGAGCAAAGGAGGGGAAAAGAGGTCTGCATGAAGCTTGGCATATGGCCCATCTAAATCAGATCATCCCAGATGAAACTGGAAGGAAGACAAACAAATGAAAAATGGAACAGATCTGCCAGAATTTCTCTGACAAACTGTTTTCTATCATAAATGAGAGTGGTTTCACCATATTTTGACTCTGCAGCTTCGGTCCTCATATAATGTGTGAGGAAATGGAATGACGCTAAAAAAGATGAAGATAGGAAGAACAGCTAGACCAGACCATGTAGAGTCAGAAAATAATCATTTTGGGCTAAAGCAACCCAATTTTCAAAGTATTGATTTTATAAGGTACATGAAAGAAAGAAGATATTCAACAATTGGAAAAAGCCACATGTTGAAAAAGTGATTCAGAAGATAACAATAACTCATAAACTGAATGCCTGCTTTCTCATATCATATTTACAGAAATATTCACAAGAATGATCTACACATATATTGAGGGCATCCTTGAAGAAAATGTAAAAAAGGCAACAAGCAGGAGCGTTTGCAAACTAAAATTTTCTATAGCAGATCACATCTTCACAGTTACACAGTTCACTGAAAGGAATGGACATCCTTATATACATATTATTTGTTAATTTTTATAAAAGACATCTCATTCTGTAAAGTAAAATGCAACCTTACAGACACTCCTCCAACAATGGGTGTCCCATGTATATAACATCATGGAAGCTTCTTTGATAGATGTGACCATAAAGACAACTTTGTTTGAATATCATCAAATAAAAAGGGACATGTATTTTTCTGTTTTTTTTTAATTTTTTAAATGTAATATTTTCTTTTCTCCCTAATTACTTATAAAAAAATTTTTTAACATTCATTTAAAAAATTTTTTAGTTCTAAATTCTCTGCCTCCTTCCCCCACCTCCCTCATTGAGAAAGCAAGCAATTTGATATAAGTTTATACATGTGCAGTCAGGACATGTATTTTTGAACAAGGTCTTTATCATGATTGTAAAGCAGGGGTTCTTAACCTTTTTTTTTGGTTATGGACCCCTTTTGCAGAAAGGCCTTTAAAGGCATAAAATAAAATACATAGAATTATAAAAGAAACTGACTATATTGAAATGTAGCTATTAAAATTTTTTTTAAAAAGCGAAGTTCAAGTTCATAGACCCCTGGTTAAGAACCTGTGTTATAGAGCAGTGGTTTCATGCTTAAATAGAAACAAATCTCTGTGGCTAGCATATTGACTTAGAAAACCACAAAGTAGCATTATCTATGTTGTACTGTATGTTTTACTGTATTTTTGTTTATTTTGTTATATTTTTTACTAACATTTTAATCTCCATGGGATCTCAGTCTGACATCTGTCTTAGAGAGGATGCCTTTCACAGTGTCCCCACTTACATCTAAATTGTAGAAACCCCAGTTTCCTTACAAAGGACAGCTCAGGTACTACCTTCTGCATAAGGCCTTTCTTTGTTGCTGTTGTTGTTTTTTTTAGTAGTGTTAAGTCCCAGAAAAATCATAGGGCTTTCTTGCTGAGATTCTTGGCCGCTCAAAATGACCTAACAATCCACATAGAAAAATTAAATGGATAAAAAATGCCTATTTTCTAGAATATGAAATTTAATTGGATAGGCAGTCCATTGAGTTATTAGTATAAATAAATCTTGGATAAGCATTGTAAATCAACAATGAACACTTTGAGAATACCACACACTTTTAACACTTACATTTTGGTTTGTTTCTTGTTGTATTAACTTCTTCTCTCCAACTTGATTATAAGCTCCTTGAAGGTAGAATCTTAGAATTTTTGAGTTGGAAGGGACCTTAGTGCCCAACCTGTAAATGAAAAGGAGTATGTCCTATAACGTAACTGTCAAGTGGTCGTGAAGCTTCTCCTTGATAACCTCCAATGAGACAGAGACAACTACCTCCCAGGCAGTTCACTTTTGTGTATCTCTAATTGTTAGGAAGTTTTTCTTCATACTAAATCTGTCTGCTTCATTATTGCTTCTACACGTGGTTGCCCTCTGGGGCCAAGGTGAACAAGTCTAATTCCTCTTCCCCATTACAGCCTTTCAGATACTTAGAGATAATTATCATGTCCTTCTTGAATCTTCTCTTTTCTGACTAAACTTATTTCACCAGTTCTTTCACCAGATCCTCTTGATATGGACGCAAGGTCTTTCACTATTCCAATTGCCCTCCTCTGAATTCTCTCTTGCGTACTGGAATCCTTCCTGAACGTGGCAAAAGCTAGTAATCAGTTGAACATTTGTCAAGCTCCTCTTGTGTGCCTGGTATTGTGCTAGGCTGTGGTGGTGGAAAGACAAAAAACGAAATAATCCTTGCTCTTAAAGAGCTTATGTTCTGTTGAAGGAGAAAAAACAAGTGTGTGTGTGTGTGTGTGTGTGTGTGTGTGTGTGTAGATGTGTGTGGACGTACATTCAGAATAAAAGTATTTCGAATTAAAACGAGGTAATGAGAGAGAGAGCAATAGTAATTGGCAGGATGGATCAATTGATTCTTGGAGGAAGTGATGGATCCTGTGAGGAGGGAGAACATTCTGAACATGAAGGACAACTGACGCAAAGGCAGGGGTGGGAGTGCTTGATGTGAGGAACAGGGAGGACCAGTTTGACTAGACTCTAGAGAACTAGAGTGGAAGAGTAATGCATTAAGAGGTTACAAAGATAAGCTCGGCTAGGTTCTGAATGGTTTTACTTTCTTATTCTTTGTTAATGTTCAGTTGATCGTTGCTAAGTTTATGACTAGCCCAGAGGCTTGGGTTGATGTTCTTGAGTTCTGATTGAATTAGCCCTTAGTCCAGCCTCAGTTCAGCACAGTAAAGCCCAGGGCTACTCCTGTGATAGTTTTTTAGGCTATGTCTGATTCAGGTTACATTCATTTCTAGCAGTGTTCTAGAACAGTAGACTCTCCCTGGGTCTCTTATGTTTTAACCTTTTACTCGTTGGCATTTCATTCGCTGTGGGTGCTTAAACACAATAGTATTTGATGTCTAGTTTCTTTTTCAGTTCTGAAACCTTTAGTTTTGGGCCTAGATACCTGTATAGCTAGAGTTAATGTTGCAGTCTTACTGGTACTGTTCTCTTTTAGTACATAGGTCTGTTAGTCTCAATACACTTTACTTGGCCCTGCCTGTATAAGTTGACAACCAGATGCTATTCCCAGTTGGTAAAAATATCAGAGTAGAAGTTTTCTATTTTATTTATCCTAGTGAGACCTTATCCTAAGTTTGACAGTAAGAGTGATCTTGTTGAATTGGGTTTTTACCTTAACCTCTCAACACATTGTTATCTGGAGAAGTGCCTCTTTCTTCCAAGGATTCTCATTGACACTTTATCATGCAGGGAGTTATTAAAAGCCACCAGGAAAGCTGAAATGTTGGCTTCTCACTAAGTTGTACCAGCTCTTGGTGTCAGAATTCTTTCAGGAGCATTTCCCTAGGTATTGTTTTTATTTTCAATTAATAAAATTTATTTTCTCTCCTCCTCCCATTGGAAAAAAGAAAAAGAAAACCATTGTAACACATATGCATACTAACAGATTTTCATGTTGGTCATATCTAAAAATGTATATTTCATCCTGCATCTTAAGTACAGCTTTATCATTGTTTCTCTGGTATCGTGGTTGGTCATTGCATCATTGATCAGAGTCGTTAAGTCTTTCAGTTTGTCTTTGCATTGTTGTTTTTCTTATTCTATATACTTCTCTTTGCATCAGTTCATAGAATCTTCCCAGGATTCTTTGAAATAGCCACCTTACAACATTTTCATATGGCATAACAGAATTTCATCAGATTCCTATACCATAATTTGTTTAGCCATTCTTCAGTAGGTGGGTATCCCATAGTTTCCAGTTCTTTGTTGCTACAAAAAGAGCTTCTATAAATAGTTTTATACATATATGTCCTTTTCCTTGCTCTCTGGGTTACAGACCCAGTAGTGGTATTGTTGGGTCAACAGTGCATATTATAGTGACTTTTTTGGAAATGGCTACATAAAATAACTGGACCATTTCTCAGCTCTACCAGCAGTTCATTAAAGTACCTGCTTTTCCACAGCCCCTCCAGCATTTGTCATTTTCCATTTTTGTCATCTTTGATAATTGGATGAATATGAGATAGAATTGCAGAATTGCTCTAATTTGCATTTCACAAATTATTAGTGGAATATTTTTTCATATTTCATTTGGAGCATTCATTTTACTTCATTGGATTTCTTCCTTTGAAAATTACCTATTCATATCCTTTGACCGTTTATATATTTGGAGAATGGCTTCCCCCCCCCCCTTTTTGGTGAGGCAATAGAAGTTAAGTGACTTGCCCAGGGTCACCAAGGTAATAAGTATCAAGTGTCTGAGACTGGATTTGAACTTAGGTCCTACTGACTCCAAGGCCAGAGCTCTATCCACTGCACCACTTAGCTGCCCCATGGGGAATGGCTGTTGATCTTGAATATGAGACCTTTATCACCGAATCATCTTACAATTTTTTCCCAACTACTTGTTTCCCTTATTTTTGCTGCATTTTCCATTTTATCTTTTGGGAGCCTTTCTGAGGCCTTGTTTATTCATGAATTCTTTCCACAGCCTAAGATTCAAAGAGTAATTTCTTTCCTGCTCTTGATAGACTCTTTTATATCTAGGTCATATAGCCCTTTGGAGGTTATAGAGGTGTTGATATTAACCTAATTTCTGCCAGACTGCTTTCTAGTTTTCCTAGCAGTTTTTGTCCCATATGAGTCCTTACCCAGTAGCTGGGGTCTTTGAGTTTATTGGACATTGAGCTATGAGGTTTGTTTACTTCTTGTATGTTGTGGACCTAATGTGTTCCACTGATTGATTGCTTTAGTCTTTAACCAGTATCAAATAATTCCTATGGTTAATGTGCTTAGTGTTGCTTGACATCTGGTAGCCTAGTTTTTTCATACTGTTTTGCAGTCTAGAGTTTTAGCTCCAACAGATCAAGGGACTCTTGTCCTCATTGATGAGTTATTGCCCAGATGGACATTTACTAAAGTCTCTTCCAGCTATCACAACAGTGGGAATCATCTCAATTATTGATATGTCAGGAATTCCAGTCTCCAGTTTATACATATTCCCTCTTTGGTGGATTTTGATGGGCTCTATCCTACCATTTTGGGGCCACAAGAAAGCTGTCACATTCTATAAGGGTTGTCTCTCCAGAGGCAATATTATCTTTTAACTGTTCCATTAAAGACTTAGCAGCAGGCCTCTTAAAACATGCCTTGTTTTGGGAGATAATTTTTTTGCATGTGTCTACTTTGTCTTATCTTCCTTGAAATGACCTGGATCCTCTTGCTCTTCCTTCTCTAGATAACCATGATATCATCTCCCTGAAACTTTTTGAGCTGACAGTAGAGCGAACTCCAGAAGAGGAAAAGCTGCACCGAGATGTATTTCTGCCCTCGGTGGACAATATGAAGCTGCCTGAGGGTAAGGAAATGAGGGGAATTATCGTGTTGTGGGACAAGAGGGGTTAAAATACATGGGGATCTGAAGAGGGGAGGGCTCAGGTTCCTTCCCAACCCAGTAGCACCTGCAGGCTTTCAGATTTAACTTTTCTGCTATTATTCCAAGGCTGGTTTCCCTTTTTTTTTTTTTTTTTTTTTTTTTGGCGAGGCAGTTGGGGTTAAGTGACTTGCCCAGGGTCACACAGCTGGCTGGTTTCCTTCTAAGGAAGGTGGAATACTTCATAAGTACTGTCTAGTTCATCTTTATGGTGCCACTCTAGGCAGTAGAGAGGGGCTAGGGTGGTTATCTTTGTTCTTTTTTTTTTTTTTTTTTAAAGGCAATTGGGGTTAAGTGACTTGCCCAGGGTCACACAGCTAGTAAGTGTCAAGTGTTTGGTCTGAGGCCGGATTTGAACTCAGATCCTCCTGACTTCAGGACCAGTGCTCTATCCACTGCGCCATCTAGCTGCCCCTATCTTTGTTCTTAAGAGGGAAAATGGAGGTACCTAGAAGAGGAGAACCTGCACCATGGATTCTTAGGACACACTCATAGAGATGAGAATAATAGTTACGTGCCCTTACTGCTACTTGGTTGAGTCCCCACTGTACTGTTCCTGACTGAGTTCTCTCTTGCTTGTGATTCCTCAGTGACACTCCCAATGGAGCCCTTAAGTGGCCTGGCCCTTTTCCTTATCGTCTTCTTCTCTCTGGTGGCTGCTGTGTTTGCTCTTGTCATTGGCATCATTGTCTACAACAAATGGCAGGACCAGAGTCGAAAGCGTTTCTACTGAGCTGTCGTGGCTGCCACCACTGTGGCTACAACCCTTAGGCACTGGGTGAGAAGCACTGGCCCCAACATGCAGCCCAGCAGGATGACTTCTCCCATCTCAGACATCAGAGCCCTTGACTTTGTTTTGTAATTGGAGCTTCAAACCCAGGGACACTGCCACTCATTCCCATAGGAATCTGTGGGGACATCTAACTCTGAGACAGGAACCCCATTCGTAGTGGGAACTGTGATGCTGTGATGTGCCTTCCCCTGAGGTCCTACCAGCTGGGAGCCAAGAAGGGTGGGGAGAATGTACTCTTTGGGGTTTTTTGTTAAATCATAATCCTAGGCCAAAATTTTATAGCACAGGATACCTTGAAGGCCAAAGCAGAAAGAGAGTTGTACTTCACTTTCTAAATCCCCAGAGCACTGAGATTTCTCCCTAGAAATCAGTAACTCCTTGGTACTGCCAGCCATCCAGCCACTGATCTTTATGTCTTAGACTGTTTTGCTGTGAGGTTTTCCTAGAAATAAATGACTCTTCCCCGTCCCTCCCTCTTCCCCCCCATGTCCCCTCTCTCCTTCCTCTGAAGTTCTCTCCCAGCTGGAAGCAGACTGCATTGCCTCGCCCCTATGGATGACTGAAAGTCTGGATCTTTTCATTGACATTTCCCTAAGGATCAGGAGTTGAGCATATTCTCTCCCTTTGTTTCAGTGCAGCTTTACCTCAATCTTCCATCCCCTATTCTGTGATTATGAGTCTTTCTTGAGTTTACGTGGTGGTCTGGCAGTGAGCCTCCCAGCCATCTACCTATAATACCTTGAATGTTTTTGCTGGGGAATGGTCACTCTGTAAATGAACTGGCTGGACTTCAGGATACTTTTCCCCTAAGAGTATCAAAGGGCCCACCAGCTCCTATTAGTCTCTCCTGACGCTTGCCCTGGGACTTGCTGCAGTTGCTAAGTTGCATGTTTGGGATTTGTGGTGATTCCTTGGATCTTGCCATCAATGTTTAGAAAGTATGAAGGCTTCCACAGCCCACCTCCACTCTTTTTATGGAGATTATTTGGCCTCATTATTGGGAGAAACAAAAACTGCTTCTAGGAATATTGAGCCCCCTTCATCTCTCCTTAGAGGAGGTTTAGCTATTTTCAGGAGAAATGTTCTCTGTAAACCTTCCCCTTCTCTCTTATTTGCTAGGGAGTCATCTGCCTCTTTGGCATTGACAGGACTAATTTGGTTAGTAGCCCAAAGTCTAATCTAAAAACGGACTGAAGCCTTCATGCTGTTCTATGTATGTCTATCACAAAGGAAATTCTTAATATGACTAACAGGGGTAAAGAATGAGATAGTACCTCAGTGCCTTTCCACTTGGGGGTGGGTCTTGGGAGAGGTTTGAGCCTGAGACTCAGAATGTGTCCCATATAGAAGTAATCTCAGGACAGGAAAGGGCCTCGGATTCATCTACAAGTCCTGGGCCCTTTTTATCTTGGAGTTGTTTTCTAGTAACTGGTGGTAAATGATGCCGCCATCCTGCAGCTTAGGAGCAGAGGCCTATTATAATAAAATCTCAGATGGGACTGAATCTGAAGTTTGGCTACATGTACTGGTCTTCTTCCAACTTGGGAGTAGTTTGTTTATGCAGCTTTTTAAGCGTCTTTGGTTTCGGCTCCCTCCTAACCTGGTTTCTTCCAGGTTGGGCAGGCCTGCTATGAAGGGTTAGCCTTACCTGGTTTGGAGGTTTCTCTTGTCAGTAACCCATAGTAACACTCTGTATGCCTGAACTGTTATCCTGTTGGGGTTATAGATGATACTCTTCCAGAGGAAAGCAATTTGCTCAAAGGTATTGGTTCTCCTGTAGCAGAAACCTTAACCCTGCTCAAAGGCATTCCTACCCGTGGGGGTTAGAGTCCAAATTGTAGCCCATAATTTTAATTACACATAGCCTTTAAGAAGGTAGACTTTAACTGGATGTAACAAACTGGGAAACCAAGTGTCCAGTTTAGTACTTTTTGTTACATTTTAGCCTGATTGGAGGTTAAGGAGGGAGACAAGTGTGTGGCAAAGCGTAGAAGTGGATTATTTTGCATCGGAACACTTGCAGAGAGATATTTGGCATAGGCCTTTGTATGTACATGTATGCACCGGGAATGGGCTTTCTGTAGGCTCAGCTCCTATGCTGGCTGAGGAATTAAGAAAGCAAAGTTCTTTGAGGTGGAAGTTTAATGGGGTAACAATGAGCAGCTCTGGTGTACCTATTCTTAGTACTCAGGCCTTTTTTCTTTCCCATAAGCAGATAATTGAACCCTTTAGATTCTGTCAAGAGTAAGAGTTACAGGCACAAAGAATGCCAGTTACCACTCATCTTTACTTGGCATTTGTTACTTTAGCACTCCCCTTACCATCAAACAATCTGAACTTATAATGAAACCCTCTGGCACCAGACATTTTTATTTGGGTGGGAATTTCCTCATCAATCTTCTCATGGGTCTATCCTACTTAAGGGAGTTTGTTTCTTGGCCAAAGTGGCCAATTATGGATCACTTGAACTATTTGCCCTTCATTTTTGAGTCTATGGCTCATAGATGATGACATGGGGAAATTTTTGAATTTGATTTTCTTTTTAATAACCCTAGAAGCCTCAGGGCTTCAAAATGACGAAAGCAATAAAGGCTTGATGATAGGAGGGATGCAGATAAGAAAGTCCCACAGGGAAATAAATTTCCTTCATGGAGCTGAGAGATCAGAAAAAATATCTAAGTAGCTGGTGGATTTTTCTTGGTTAACTTGTGGCTGTAGTCCATAAGACTCAGAAGAAGAGCTTGTAGGGATGGTTGTTGGTGTCCTTTTGAAACTTGCCTCAAACTCTTCAGGTAGAGGTCTAGCCAGCTTAAACTCAGGTTTGATCATCTTCATAGCTAAATAGTTCTGGAAAGAATGGGGACAGGGTCAGATTAAGATGCCCTGTAGGCTCCCTTCCTCTGGAAGGCAGTCACTAAGGGATTATTCCTGTGGAGCCATTATAGATGGAAGATCAAGAGCCTATAATTTTGTTTCTCCCTCTTTGCCTCCCTACTTCCCATCACTTACAGGAATAGAATAGATAAAGCTTAGCACCAGGAACACCATGCCCATCATTAAAAGGGTGAATGTAAATTTTCCGCGGTAGCGTTTCCAACAGATGTAGCGTATACTGAGCCAAGGTGATAGGAACCACAGGAATGAGGTTTCTGGTCGTCTGTCTCCCCATTCAGGAAATACATAATAAGCCAGGGGTGGGGGTGAGGGAGAAAAGGGAAAAAGAAATTTCAGGTAGAAGAAACCTAGAGTAAAGAGGTTTTTTTTTTTTAAAGCATAAAATATTTGTCTCTGTCTTTGGTGTTAACTGGCCAGGCTATTCTGTGTGAAGAGAAAAAACTCTCCCTTTTCCCCCTATAGGCCTGCTGGGACTCCCAATGGTATTAGGTTCTTAGGCCATTAGCTCAGGATGAAGAAGAGAGGAAAGGTATTTGGGAGCTTTTTCTTTTTCTTTGTGTGACCCTTACATGGGTGCATAAAGTGTAGGGTATTGGTTGGGTTCAGAGCGGCCTTTCCCAGCTGGTCTTTCTTCAGCCTCCTTCTTTGTCAGCACCTCCAGAGTCATCTTCACTTTGCCCTGGAAACACCATAGATAGTGGTAGGGACTTAATGAGATCAGTTACCAGGAATCTTGAGATCTCCTAGGTCCCAGAGAGGGGGAAGGGAAGGAATTTGTCTCTTATTGCTTGCAAACAAGATACTGAAAGCGCAGCCCAGTAACCCTAATACCCTACCCAGTGTACTGAACAGAAAATCTCTATGGCTCCTACCGAAAGACTCCATTTGCCATTATTCAGAACCTGACAAGGCCACCAGCCAGTGATAGTTTTCTGCCTGAAGAGGGAGATGTGCTTGTGGAAGAACTTAAATGGCCACTTAGGCTTGTTTTCTATCATGCTGAGGGTGCATTGTCGGGAACTCCGGGTAGGGGCTGGCATTTCACACAAATCAAGCTCTAGAATTCCTGAGACCAGAGAGAAAGGCCATCAGAGAAAAAAAGTGTCTTTGCCTTTAGGGTCCCAAGGCCCCAACTCAGTCCTTTACCTAAAAAGTCATCAGAAAAGAACCTGTCATTGTCCCAAATCTGGATTAGAAGTCGGGGTGGGATCTTCTCCACTGTGGGGTCTAAGCTCCAGATGAAATCCTACATGTAAATGGGAGATGCTTCAGTCAATCAGCAAATATTTATTAATTATTTACTATGTGCCAGGCATTATGTTAGGTACTAGAAATGCAAAAATGAAACAGACTCTGTGCTTAAGGAGCTTACATTCTTTTGGGGAAGATAACACATACATACATAGGTAAGTAAGGAAAAGAGTGTGGTTAATAGTGTCAGATGTTGCAAAGAAATTAAGAATAATAAGAGCTGAGAAAAAGTCATTGGACTTGGCAATTTAGAGATCTTAGGTAACTTTTCAGAGTGGATTCAATGGAATAATAAAGTCAGAAGCCGTATTTACAAAGGAATGAAGAGGGAGGGTGCTTTCATTTGACAGTAAAAATAGTCGGATATTTCTAGGAATTTGGCTATGAAAGGGAAGAAAGATATAGGACAATAGCTTGAAGAGTTGATAGGGTTAAGTGAAGGTTTTTTTTTTTTAAGAATGGGGGAGGCATGAGTGTGTTTGTGGGAAGCATTAGTGGACCAAGTAGATACGGAAACCGAAGAAATGTGAGCAAAGGAATGTTATCAGGGACAATGTGGGGCAAGAGATGGGGAGGGTTGGAATCAAGATTACAAGACCTTGGCAAGGAGATGGGCCATCTGTTCATCAGAGACTGGTAATAGTGTAGTGGGGACAAGGGAGAAAAAAATGATGTTAAAGGGTTTTGAGGTGTGAAGTGGAAAAAAAGAGGGAACTGTTGGCAAATGGTGTTTATCAGTCACAAATGAGATGAAGTCTCTGCTGAGAAAGGGAGCAAAGTGGTTCAGCAGCTTGAAAAGAGAAATTGCATCTCAGGAACTTTCCTGCATTTTGTACTCTGACCTTGTCTTCAAGGAATGACAGGGGTTTGGGCAGTAGAGTTGTCCTGCCTGTCTAAGTGTGTTGTCAGAACCCAGAAAGAGTTCCTTACCTTCTTGCTCAGAACGCAGACCTGTTCTGTGGGCAGGTAGTTAAAAGTGAAGATAAACCTCCAATTGAAATTCCCAGATCCAGTAAGTGATCGATAGTGAATATCTGTCTTTTGCATGTCGTCCTCCATGTCATGCATCCACCTATAACCGAAATGTACCATCCTAGGTCCACATACACTCAACCGTTCCTTCCCTCTGCACCCATTGGCCCCCTAAGTTGGTCTACTGTAAAAAGGGAACCACTCAATGCTGGGTATCGGTGAAAGGGCCAGAGTGCTATCTCCAGGATTGGGAGAACCTGGGTGGTATGGGAGAGACCAGGAAACTTAAGGAAAGAGGGGTCCAGCTTGGAGGGTCTAGGACATGCTTAGTCATGCTGAATTCTTGGTCCTTTTCCCATCTCCTCCCTACTCCCCATGCCCTCACCCTTTGATGTAGATATCACTCATCCTCTCTCCAGTTAAACTGACGTCCTGCAGGTTCACATTTCTTGTTTCCCAGATGATGCAGCGCAATTCATACCTATGGTCATTGCGTTCTGAGGCCAGGCTACTGAGCCGTGACCATGGGGAGGGGCTGGCTGTTTCTCTCCATGGCTCAGGGTTAGAGCATGCAGAGCCTGTGAAGGCCTGGCTTCAAGATGGAACACTACCTTCTGAGTCTAGTGCTGTCAAGGCTAATGGAAGATATCTCCACACATCACCAATAATGATGAGAAATTTTGGGGGTAAAGGGGTGACATTTAAATTCAGTGTCCAAAGGTGAGATCGGGGCAAGGAAAATATCTGCCAAATTGCTTGTGATATAATATGTAGTTGGCTATCCTGGCCAAGTGTGTGTAGAGGGAAAGGTAACTCTCACCTTTTGGCCTTTCGAAGACTGATGTTGACTGCAGGCCCTGGAGGCCCAAGATGCAGGGGGAAGATGTCCACCCACAATTGTACCTTCCCCTAGAATCAGAGATAGGATTGCTAGTTGGTATTTGCCTTATTCCTGTGGCCTGACTGTGCCTTTTAGAGCCCTTGGAGTTGAGTTCTTTAAAAATGGTACTGTCAAAAAAGGCATCTCTGGAGTCCCATCTGATTATAGGTACATGAACACAAACATGTTTGCTCACATATGTGTGTACATGAATCAATGTTCTCCCCACAACAGTGGAACATTTACTAAATAGAAGTTTCTGCCCTCCCTTGCTTGATGCCTGTATTTAATCTTTTCCTCTTCCATAAAGTAGGCTGTGTCCATTCAAGCTCTACCCCCAACACATACCTGGTCAATACCTGGCTGGGTGTTTGAATACAGAGTTCGAGTCTCCACATGCTCAGGCACCTGTCCCTGAGCTTGCAAGAGGTACAGTGCCAGGCGCTCTTTTGGAGAACCTAAGTACTTAATGGGAGGGGTGTGTTTTTCTAGGAAGTATGGAACAAAGAGAT